ATTGTATTTAGATCATATTATTATATTTATTGTTACACTAATAGAATTATTTATTTATTTATATTAAAAAGTACAGAAATTACATTTGAAACTATTATTAAGAGGGGGTCCAGGGGGCGAGCCCCCTGACTTTCGCCGAAGGCGAAAAAGCGAAGCTTGTGTGTTTATAAATAGATCAGATCGTTCATGAGGAGACACTCAACACATTTATCTGCTAACAATGATTAGCTAGACAAGCAGACTGTGGAGAGTGATTCAATTATGGTTGCAACTGTTGAGACAAGTGGTGTGGAGAATGGCGACGTATCTTAGCTTACATCAACAAGCACCAGACGATCCGGAACGTAACCAAACTGAAGAAGTAAACAGCCTCTTCAAGTTGAGTGGCTGAAATGGTGCTTGGTCTCACGTGCTCCATCCAATATTACTAATGACAGTCTGTTGACCATTTTGAATCGTGTCGTGTCTCAATGTTTGTCTACGAGTGTCTCAGACAGTGGTGCTTCTAGACTCTCAAGGCAGCACGTCAAGATATATTAACGTTCTTGGAAAGTTTACTTTGTCCGTGGTCCGTCCTTCAAGTAGATCTTTTGCAGCGTCTCCTCCCTCTATGAGCATTAATTCCCTTCCCTTGGAGATACTTGGTGTCATTTTCCACGAGTATGTGCACAGTGCACACTTACGCAACAAGGAAATATTTTGGGCACCAGTTAGAATTTCGAGCGTTTGCCGACGATGGCGTGACGCAGCCCTCTCACTCGGTGTAATTTGGACCTATCTGGACTACGACTTTCATTACAATCCACGGAAAAACCTGTTAGAGATTCTCGACATATGGCTTTGCAGATCTAATGGAGTGCCACTTAATTTCTCGTTCAATTTTTACCTCAAGCACTGCTGGTCTGAAGAAGATAACGAAGTAGCCGAGCGTGCCGTTCTGATGTTGCTTTCTCACCAATGGCATTGGGGGAAAGTCAGATTCAACTGGCGATTCATGACATCTCCCAACTTTCCAGGTATATGGCTTACAAACATGCCCAAATTGACATCGCTTGACTTGTACATCAAGCTTGATGGTGGTTTTTACAAAGGAGGCGGATGTATCAATTTTTCGCAGTCTTCGAGACTTGAATATCTACGCCTCAATTGTCCGATTCCTCTAGGCGTTGAGGACAAGCCATTGTACTTGCCAGTGGTAGCAACGATCGATCTCGATTTGCATGGCCATTCCTCGACACACATCACTGTGTCGCAATGCCTGGATGTCATTGAGGCGGCTCCGAATCTGAGGAAATTTCGGACTTCCTCCTGTACGGTCAACGAAGCAGTGAATTACGAGGAACGTCCTATCACCTCGCACAACCTTCGGATCCTTGTTCTATGGGGAGGCAGTGCTTCACTCGTAATCAATAAATTGGATCTTCCCGCTTTGACGGTTTTGACATGCATCGACCATTGCTTTGATAGCGCAGGCGAAAATTTCGTGTCGTTTGTCACACGCTCATTGCCACCATTAACTCATTTGGCGATCGGTGGCAACTGTACTGATGAAACCGCGGTTATGCACATCCTTCCGCTTCTGCCCCTACTTCGTGTGCTTGATATGGACCCTTGTACTGTTTCAGCACGGCTTTTTCAGTTCTTTTCTGCTCCAAATAGGGCCTCTACTGTAGGGAGTTGCATCCACAATGCACATGAGCAGATTGTATGTCCCGATCTCGGATGGGTTTGCTTCTTTAACTATTCCATCGTGGGGGAAGAACGTGAATGTGCCGATGCATTATGCACTATGCTAGAGTCGCGCTGGGATTTTTTGAAGTTTGCCAGGGAAAGGGTTGGGATCGACGGGCCAATTTCTGATGCTGACTGCGAAAGGATGCAGCATCTTATCTGGGATACAAAGGACTTTTCTATTGGCAAGGCCAGGGACGAAAGGGATATGAACTTTCCAGGTCTATCAGCTTTTGAGTAGCTATGGACTAGATGACTACTCTTGTTAAAAGTTTGAATTTATTTGGCTTTGTGTATATTTTGACTATGTGTGCCTATGTGCATTACATATATATTTTTTGTGCCTCTGCATTATAATTAGTTAACATTTGTACCCGAAGGAAGTGCAAACAATGCATCGGGTGAATGTGATGCACTCCGGTCCGAAGCCTATCCAATTCCGTAGTCGACGGACCAGCCGAGTCATGCCGCCGATCCACAAACGGTCTACGACTCTACGAGTGTCTCAGACAGTGGTGCTTCTAGACTCTCAAGGCAGCACGTCAAGATATTATTAACGTTCTTGGAAAGTTTACTTTGTCCGTGGTCCGTCCTTCCACCACAGTCCTTCCCAACCAAGGAAAAATAGATCTTTTGCAGCGTCTCCTCCCTCTATGAGCATCAATTCCCTTCCCTTGGAGATACTTGGTGTCATTTTCTACGAGTATGTGCGCAGCGCGTACTTGCGCCACAGGAAAATAATTTGGGCACCAGTCAGAATTTCGAGCGTTTGCCGACGATGGCGCGATGCAGCCCTCTCACTTGGTGTGATCTGGGCCTATCTGGACTATGATTTTTCTTACAGGCCACGGAAAAGCCTGTTAGAAAGTCTCGATACACTTCTTCACAGATCTAACGGAGCACCACTCAATTTCTCGTTCACTTGCAACCTTAAACACCGGCCATTCCCAGAGGACAACGAAGTAGCCGAGCGAGCCGTCTTGATGTTGCTCTCCCACCAGTGGCATTGGGAGAAAGTCAGATTCAACTGGCGATTCATGACATCTACCAGCTTCCCAGGTATATGGCTTACAAACATGCCCAAATTGACATCGCTTGACTTGTACATCAAGCTTGATGATGGTTTGTATGAAGGAGGCGGACGTATCGATTTTTCGCAGTCTTCGAGACTTGAATATCTACGCCTCAATTGTCCGATTCATCTAGGCATTGGGGACAAGCCATTGTTCTTTCCAGTGGCAGCAACGATCGATCTCGACCTGCATGGCCATTTCTCAACACCTGCCACTGTGTCGCAATGCCTGGATGTCATTGAGGCGGCTCCGAATCTGAGGAAATTTCGGACTTCCTCCTGTACGGTCAACGAAGCAGTGAATTACGAGGAACGTCCTATCACCTCGAACAACCTCCAAATCCTTGTAATGCGGGGTGGCAATGCTTCACTCGTAATCAATAAATTGGATCTTCCTGCCTTGACGGTTTTGACATGCAGAGACGGCTGCTCTGGTAGTGCAGGCGAACATCTCATATCGTTTGTCAGACGCTCATTGCCACCATTAACCCATTTGAGTGTCGGTGGCAACTGTGCTGACGAAGCTACGGTTATGCACATCCTCCCGCTTCTGCCCCTACTTCGGGTGCTTGATATGGATCCCTGTACTGTTTCAGCACGGCTTTTTCAACTCCTTTCTGTTCCAAATAGCACTACTGCGGGGAGTTGCATTCACGATACACACAACCAGATTGTGTGTCCTGATCTGGGATGGGTTTGCTTCTTCAACTATTCCGTCGTGGGGGGAGCACGTGAGTGTGCCGATGCATTATGCGCTATGTTAGATTCGCGCTGGGATGTTTTGAAGTTTGACGGCCATTTGGTCAAGATTGGCAAGCCGGTTTCTGAAACCGATTGCGAAAGGATTCAACATCTTATTTGGAACACAGAGAACTTTTGTACTGGCGAGGACAGGGACGAAAGGGACGAGGTCTTTCCAAGTCTTAAGCTTCCAGAGCTCCGGTAGACGATGGTGTTCCACTTCCCGCATATGCTAATTATGGACGGACATGCTATTATGAACTAACTGTTTAATTATCCGCATATGTATATATACATATATTTCTTGTGCCTCTTCACTATAATTAGTTCATGTTTGTACTCGAAGCAATACAACGAACGCGTACGGTAATCACCAACAACGGGTCGAGTGAACGTGATGCACTCCGGTCCGAATCCGATCCAATTCCGTAGTCGACGGAGCAGCCGAGTCATGCCGCCGATCCACAAACGGTTCCGAGAAGGCAGATAAGTGTATTAATATACCAGCAGACATACCCACCCCTCTGGTCTTTTCCAACGTTGTCTGACGTTCCGTCTTTCTTTTGTTTTCTCTATTCGCGCATTATTGCTGGTCTGAGTTGGAGGAAACCAAAAGGAGAACATTTGCTTAGTCACTGCTTTATCACACGCATTGCTTTGTGCGCCGCATTGCGTGGCCTTTGGAGTGTCTGTGTCCTACTAGAATTTTTTGGGATTGGTTCCGGTGTCCGCGAGACCATACAAGTATAAGGTGTCCCGAGTGAACTTGTATCGGGATAACTTGACCTGAGTGTCGGTCATGCCAAGATACCAACTTGAGGTCGCTATCGTACTATGTTGTTCCGCGTTACTCAGTGCAGCCGTATTTGCATTACAAAGACGACCGAAAGAAGGGGCTATTAAATTGCCACTTTATGACGATGGCGAGTTGATTGGTGCCACGGAGTCTGACGACCCGTTCAATGTGACGAAGCCTGAGGATGTGATTGATGGGTATCCTATTCGAGAAGAGGAGTTTTGGAGGAAGGTGCGTTGTATTCTCTTCTACGTCCATATCTCAAATCTGATAAAACATTTTCGTAGATTCGAATACGAAAACTCTTATCAACGGGAGTCACGGCTGCCTTGGTTATCGTTCAAACCGTTGCGCTAGGATGGACTGTCATCGCAGACGAAAATGTTCGAGACGTAGCCTCCACAGCCCTGTACACTGCATTCTCTCTGTACATGTTGGTTTTGTCGGTCATCTCCATAAGCCATTCTGAAAGATACTGGCATGGAAGATTTACTGTGCATTTGGCTGCATTGTCAACGACAGCAGTTGTTTTCTTGGTTGCAGTCAGCATTTTGCCGTCAAGAGTTCAGTGGGAAAAGTCTCGGCAGATTACTTGGTTCATATCTTTGGCACTTTGGATTTTGGCGTTCTGGTTATCTACACGGATGAAACGGGGCCCCGACTTGCATTTTCCTTCCGAACGAATATACTCGGAGAAGACCCTTGCTGGTACGACGACATACGTAGAAGACAACGTATGTGGTATCGTTAACGGGTCTCCTTGGGATATCGTGCTGTTTTCCTATACGACGAAAGTGGTTCGCCTTGGGTACACATCCGAGAGTCTTGAAATTGGTGACCTCCCGATTGTTGCGGGGAGCATGCGCGCAACGTCAATCTTCTCGCGCATGAAATACGTAATGCGCAAGTATCACTGGCGTTCTGCACGCCCAGGTTCCGGATGGCTTTTGGCGTATCGGATCTTATGTGCCAACAAACGTTTGTTGACGATTCAGATTTCGTTGGTCGTCGTCTCCGCGGTCCTTTTCTACTCACCAGCGCTCTTCTTGCGGTTACTCGTTAAATACCTCGAAGACGACCCGGAAAGAAAATATCCTGCCTGGGGTTGGGTGTACGCTGCAGGCCTTTTCGGGTTGAACGCATTCACGTATCTCGTCACTGGACAATTATGGTCCATCTCCACGACGAGTCTGCAAGTTTCCATGAAAATTCAACTCAATACGATATTGTACGGGAAGACGCTTGTGAGAAAGGACGTTGCTTCTACTGCGGCGACTAAGAAGGGAGATAAGGAGGAGGAGGAAGGGGAGTTTTCGAGCAAGGCTCAGGTTATGACGCTCATGACGACTGATGTGGATCGGGTTAGCGAGTTTGCGTGGCATTTCTTCGCTTTGTTCGGTACGTGGCCATCTATATCATTTATATTAACGGGTGAAATTCATTAACTATTGTGAAATGAAATGAAATATAGATTCGCCTATTGAAATAACGATCGGCATGCTCATTCTTTACAATCTTCTGGGTAAGTTCTCTCTCTCTATAAGTTAACCTTTGTTGCGTCGTGCAAGTTACGAACTTTGAACTTCTTTTTGATTTCAGGTGTCTCGTGCTTCATCGGTCTCGCAGCTGCATGTTTGTTCTTGCCTATGAATCACTATGCGAGCAAGGTCGTCGTTTCTGCTCAGGAAAATCTTATGAAAGCTCGTGATGAGCGAATGGCGTTGATGAACGAGGTATGGTTGCTGTTTGTTTTCATGTCGAAATACATGTCTGATTGGCTTGCTGCAGGTCCTCAGTGCTATTAAGATGCTCAAGGTAAACAGTTTTCAATAACACTTTCGCTGTGGTATTGATTCTTGATATAGTTCATGGCATGGGAGCGTAACTTCGAAAGCCGAGTTATGAAGATTCGTGAGAAGGAGCTTAAGTACCAACGCTTGAACTACATCATTGAGGTAAGTGTAGTTGATTTACTTTTGCATTGTGAACGTCGCTCAAGTACTGATTCGGGTATAACAGACATTGTTCAACAGTATTTGGTTTGTTATACAAACACACACTCTCTCTGTGATTAGTCGACCTGACTTCAACTCGTGTTTAGGGCTGCGTCTCCTCTGGTGGTGACACTTGTGTCCTTCTGGCATTTTACTGTCATCCGGCATCAGACACTTACGCCGTCAATTGCGTTCACTTCCGTAAGGCACTTTCTTTACCCTCTTTCACACAAATACTCACTGATGATTCCACAGATTGCCAGTATGTCTTAAGTGGATTACTGCATACGTTTACTGATTTATTACACGCCGGGTCCTTAAGTCTTCGCTGAACTCAAATTCGCTCTAAACGCAATTCCCGAAACCTTAATCAACATGTACCAAAGTTTCGTCTCCATGGCACGTATCGAACGATACCTCGGACTCGCGGAAGTCGCACCTGTAGAACCGTTGGATGATGTACAACGACGTATTGCTCTGCAATCTGCTACGATTACTTGGCCGCAAGATAGGTCAGGCTCGAGAAGCGCCAGCGCTAGTGCTACTCCGTCGACTTCTTCGACTCCCCGGCGCAAGTTTTCGTTGATTGACCTTACGATTGAGTTCCCTCCTGGGGAGCTGTCGTTGATTTGTGGGAAGTTGGGGGCTGGGAAGACTTTGCTGCTGCTTTGTATGTCTTCCATTTCCTCGACTGTGCGATGAATTGTTAGAAATTGTGCTGATCAGAGGGTTGTGCAGCCCTCCTTGGTGAAGCGGACCTTTTGGCAGGACAGATCAGTTGTCCTCGCTCGCCTCCGAATGTTATTGCGTCTTTCGTAGGCCAGGTTCCTGAGGAGAAAGAGTGGATTGTCAACGGCGTGTGTGCATATGTGCCGCAGGTGTGTATCGCATATGTAGTTTATCTACGGAAAAGCGTTGACCTTGTGCTTCAGGCTGCTTGGCTACAAAATGCAACAATTAAAGGTACTTATGATGCTCGATTACGTGGCCGTATAATATTTACCCTTGTCTCTGCTAGAGAACATTTTGTTCAACCTTCCATTCGTAGAGGAGAGGTATCAGAAGACACTAGAAGTGAGTTCTACATCGATTATGGAATGTATTTGATTCTAAGTGGTCATCCAAGGCTTGTGCACTGGTTGGAGATTTGAAAATCCTTGAAGACGGTGACGAGTCGGAAATCGGCGAGCGGGGTGTAAGTTCACTTTCGTAATCATTTTCGAGACAGGCGTTTGACGGACCCTAGGTCACTCTATCTGGAGGTCAAAAAGCGCGAGGTGAGCACTTAGAAAATTTATTACTTCGGCCTCGAAATCGACGTCCTTTATAGTATCGCTTGCCCGTGCCGTTTATTCTCGCGCGTCGGTTCTTCTTTTGGACGATGTTCTTTCGGCCGGTTCGTACCTTTTATGTCACTTGTCTTGCTAGGATATCTAATATCTAATATCCATCCCAGTTGACGCGCACACCGCACATCACCTCTACCACGAATGTCTTAAGGGTGATCTAATGAAAGGCAGGACAGTCATTCTCGTATCACATCACGTACAACTATGTGCACCTGGTGCAAGTTATATAGTATCTCTAGACAACGGCCGACTGGCGTTTTCCGGTCATCCAGATGACTTCAGGGCATCTGGTATTATGGCCAGACTCATCCAATCTGATCAACTCGAAAACGCTGGTGAAGAGAATGGAGAGGAAAAGGAAATCTCTCAGGAAAGGAATATCGAAGATCTGCCGTCTAGGGTTGCTTCTTCTTCCGCTTCGGTGAACGAAACAACAACGACCGAAGGAGCTTCGCCAGCGTCTTCTGATTCACCGGTATCTGAAACAGAATCGACGCTTGCGGCTTCTAGTGTCAATGCTGCTGTTGAGTCTAAGACAAAGGAGAGGAAGGCGCCGCGCAAGTTGATCGAAGAGGAGAAACGGGCAGTTGGTCGTATTGGTAAAGAAATTTGGAAAACGTATTTCTCCGCCGTGGGCAGTAATTTCTATTGGATTATCTTTGCGATTGCGGTCATACTTGCCGCTGCCAGCCCCGTGGCGGAGAACGGATGGTTAAGGTGAGCTATTCTGTATTCTCCTTCCGTTTTTCTTTTTCAATTCCTAATGTAAGTTTCTAGTTATTGGTCCGGATTGGCCGGAAAGCAAACCGAAACACGTGGACCAATGTTTTATGTCGCTATCTATGCCTTGGTGAGTCAAAACTCTTCTCTATATACTGTGACCTATTACTTATTTGTTGCAAAGATTACATTCATTGGTACGTTCTCACAGCCCACGTCGCCTTGCTGGTATCTGATAGGTGACCATTAGGTCTTATCTTTATGACGTTCCGCTGGTTCGTTCTATGTAAGTCTACACGTCTTGTTTGAAGCAAGTCATCCAAGTCTAATTCGAGACAATGACAGATCACGGATCCATTCATGCCTCCACGATCCTTTACAAGAGTGGGTTTATTCCATCTTGATTCCACACTCGATACTAACTTAAAGAAGGGCTACTCGAGACGGTCTTGTTCGCTCAAATCCGCTTCCACGATACTGTCTCACGCGGTCGCCTCCTGAATCGTTTTGGCAAGGACTTTGAAGGTAGGACAATCGTTATCATGCATAATTGTGATAAATTGACCGGCTTGTAGGAATCGACTCCTCGTTATCTGACAATTTCGGACGAAGTGTCTTTTATTTCATATCTGCTTGTACAACTCTTGTTGCGATTACTTACGTCGGTGGACCGGTTTTCTTCGTTGCGGCGCTTATACTTGGAGTCGTGTATTACAATGGTAAGGACTCTGTTCTCTTAAACTGAACCTGTGGCTAAGGTGGCAATCGTAGTTGCTAAGGTGTACGGCCAATGCAGCCGTGATATGCGCAGACTCGGTGAGCAGGAAGATACCCAGCTGATTAGTACTTGTATTGAAATGATTGTATTAGACTCGGTATCGCGTTCGCCATTGTACTCTATTTACGGAGAAACTATATCTGGTGTACCCATTTTGCGAGCTTTTGGGGCTAGCTCCAAGTTCTTGCGCGACATGCTTAGATGCGTAGACACGGTTCGTCCCTGTTTATCCATTCTTTTGCTTGAGTCCTCGCTAAGTTAGTTTGCAGAACGCGAACCCTTATTACTGGTTGTGGGGAGGTGAGCAGGAAGTTCGTCTCGACATGTGCTGTTTACTAAAGTGTTGTTAGTGAACCGCTGGGTCTCTACTCGCTTCAACCTGCTGAGTAGCGCGATCGTTGGCGTAACTGCTATCGTGGCGCTTATAAACCCGAAGATTGATGCCAGCCTTGCTGGTTTCACGTTAGCGTTTGCTTCGACGGTTACGAACGACGTACGCTACTGCTTTGATCTATAAATCTCTTTTTTAATGATACCATCTCTCGGATTAGCTACTCTTCATGGTTCGTCGTTTCGTCGGGCTTGAGCAATCAATGGTAAGTATAAATAGTTTTTCGATGTTAGTATTCAAGTTAAATTTTGTATAAAGGTTGCGGTGGAGCGCGTGAAAGAGTACTCGGAGCTTTCTAAGGAAGGTCCTGAGTTTGTTGAGCCAAGGCCTCCTGCTTCGTGGCCTTCAAAGGGTGAGCTTAACATTTTCACTGTTAAGCAACAGGCATGGACGTTAATGATTAACCAACGTGACTAGGATCCATTGAATGTGAAAAACTTGTCATCCGATATGCGGTATGTATTTAACATGTTGGCACTTTTGAGGATTTTTCTGATGACCATCCATTAGCCCGATCTCCCAGATGTCTTGCACGACTTGAATTTTAAAGTTAACCCTGGAGAGAAGATCGGAATTCTGGGCCGGACAGGTAAACCGCTATACATTTCCCCCTATGTATTCTACGGAAAAGGTTATTGATGTTGGGTTCTAAAGGTAGCGGAAAGAGTACTCTGGCACTATCATTCTTCCGATTCGTAGAACCGACCGAAGGACGGATCCTTGTGGATGGAATTGACATCACGAAAGTCGGATTGACCGATCTAAGGAGTCGACTGACTATCATCCCGCGTACGTATGCTTTTTGTTTATAATGTCAGATTACTCATGGTAATGCAGAGGATCCGACTGTTTTGAGTGGCACATTACGCTCAACGCTGGATGTGTTCGATGAATACGAGGACGCAGAGATCGTACGTGCCCCCATTATTTCTATGCAAGCTTGATTATTTCTCGACTGATACTCTTCGTAGTTTGAGGCGTTACGTCGCGTACATTTAATACCGTCGTCCGATGAGGAAGCTCCTCAGGATGATGAAGAAAATGAGAACCCCTTCCGAAATCTGGATTCGCCTGTGTCGGAGGGAGGAGACAACTTTTCCACGGGGTGAGTCTATGCGTCTCTTTCATTTACGGAGTGACTATGCTTAATTTATTCAATTGTTTGCATGTTCCAGACAGAAGCAGCTATTATGTATGGCCCGTGCAATCTTGAAGCGATCTAAGATTCTAGTCATGGACGAGGCAACTGCAAGGTACCTGAATTTCTTTCAACTAGACACCCTTCATCTAATTCTTACCATCGTCAACAGTGTTGATTATGCTACTGACGAGCTTATCGGGAAAACCATTAGACAGTATGTGCCGAATGGTTCATAATAACATCGTGGTTTACTAAATGTATACCTATAGGGAATTCGCTGACTCAACATTACTGACAATTGCACATCGTTTACGAACTGTCATTGATTACAACAGAGTAAGCCATATAACATTGTTATCAGTTTATTAATCCCATTCCCTAATATGTTTTATCAGGTTATGCTTCTTGACCAAGGCCGAATCGTCGAATACGATCGCCCGGCGACATTACTGTCTAACCCTTCATCGCGCTTCTATGCATTATGTAAAGCGGCAGGATCGGACGAGTTCACGATGTTGAAACGAATGGCTGGGGTGTCATAACATCTTTATTGACTCCCAACACAAAAGACAAAAATAGTTCTGCTCTGCTACATAGGCGAGTACAAAAGAACGCATTGATAGATAAAGGAGTGACTTTTTGATGTATGTATATATATGAATGAATGACTGGAAAAGTTTTGATTTGGATCATACCTGAGGCATCGAGTTCGTAATCATCACAGTCGTAAAGGTGCAGTTGGAGCAGACGGTCCGTGGTTGATCATCTCAAACTGCAAGTCTGTACCTCCCTGTCCTCTCGACTTCTTCGCTTTTGTCGGTGAAGTTCCTACACCGACCAGACCGCGGGTGTAGCTCGACGCCCGTGCCAAGACAGAGTCTTGGACGTGTAAAGATTGGATCGTTGGAGAGTCTGAGATGGCGATGGACGGAGTCTTCGAGTGTGTTTGGTGTTTGATGTGCCTCTCTTCGATCTGAGTCTGAACGTAAGGTACCCTACAGCTTTCTCGCAGATAACGAGGAAGGATAACTTCAGCGTAGACAGGATATGTTGTTGACTTATTATTCGGACTTGCTGGTTTTGGCTTTTGTGCACCTGCAAGTGACAGTGACAATTGCGTACTTTGCAAAGAGTCTTCAATGCTAACTATAGCGCTTCGCGAACTTGTAGATGCAGCAAGTGCACTCGAAGAAAGAAGGGTATTTAATGAACTTGACCGAGGAGGGACCATCCCGCAAATTCGATTTATAGAGCGTGAGGGTGAGGAATAGACACTCAATGATTGAATAGAAGGATCGGCTTGTGCTTGGAGAGTATAGACGGAATGAACGGAGTGAATAGAGTCCTGAGAGTCGGAGATAATGAACGTCGTTGATGGAGATTCTGTTTGTGACAAGCTACTTGCGGAGAAAGGCGATCCCGTTTGAGAAGCGTTGACTTGAGCGGATCGAGGAGGTGTAAGGAGACGAGTCATATCCCTTGGCGTATTTCTACCGCAGAAAGGCTGTCTTGGTGATGTTGACGATACCGAGTTCGCTTGAAATGGAGGAGGAATAGGGAACTTCTCAAGGAACGGATCAAGATCAACCGACGCCGCCTGTCTAGCCCTAGTGAGTCCGACAGAGTCCCGCGGAACAATTCTTCCAGGTGTAATAGGTTCCTTTGACTCGATGCTAATACTAGCACTGAAGGTCGAGCATCTGTCATTCTCAGTGTCATCATCATCACCTCCAACCAGTCTTTGTCGGCTTTCAGAGAAGGGCTGAAGAAGTTGTTCTCTTCGCTTCCTTGATTTGGATTTCCGATGTGCTTTGATAAGAGGCGTGAGGTAGAAGTAGAGGAAGACCGAGAAGCCTAAAACGCCTATTGCGATCGACGAATCTATCGTGCAAACAAACAATGGGGCAACCATCAAATTTGGAAATGAAGAGATTGTACATACACGCGATTATCTTGTCTTTCCTGTTGATTGGCCGTTCGACTGGGCGTATTTTGAGGTGACTATCCTCGACTGGATGGATACTTTCTTCGCCAAAAGGCAAGATCATACTGAGAGAAAGGAAGGTGGTGAAAGGAGGGTGGCAAGTAAGCGAGCGTGGTATAGAAACGCAGTATGATGAAGATACTCTGCGGGAGTGTATGTACGCGCCTCTTTCATCCTGAGTCAGCCTCCATCCACCAGCCCAGATCTAATCAGCACTGGCGTTTTCATTACGCCAGCCACTTGAGGATCGTCAGTAGCTGATGCCTATGCTACACTCGATATTGCTTATTTTACGCAACTTATCTCCAAGATTAAGATATATGTTCCGAGTTATGGCCAGCTAATGCATCACGATGAGTTTTGTAATGCCTTCAAAGTGTCGGAGCAAATTTTGGAATCACCTATGCAACGACACCTTTTTTTTTTCAAAAGAAAAACCACCAAGAAGGATCAGCGATTTAATAGTCATAGCAGAGCTATGTTCGTCTACTGGGATGGACGTCTACAAAGAGAACGAAGTCTTACACAGACTCCAAGTCCTCTTTCTTTCAATCGCTTGTGGAACCATCTCGATCCGGATTAGTCTTGGCTGAGAATTGTGCTCCGCTTGAATATATATTACATAATGCGCAACGCCTCATGAGTCATGACGCCCGTCGAGTGATTCAAGGCGTATCAAGTTTGACTCCTCTCTACTCAGCAAGTGTCTAATATGAAACGGAGGGCTTTACGCATAACAATGGGACCATCTCTACCTTTTATTTTCCTGGCTGAGAATTGTGCTCCACTTGAATCTACACCATTTAACTGAAGGCTTCATAACGCACATCGAGGTGTATCGAGTTTGTCTCTTTTGAAGCTCCTTCTGTCAGTATTTGTCTCATGAAACTGAAGGCTTTGCTTATTGATGATAGTGGGGATGGACGTGGAGCTAGATCAAGTACAAGGACTACCGGAAGAGCAATGCGTAGAGGCGGTCGTGGTACTCTGCATAACGTTAAAAATAAGAAGCATACCACAAGCGGAAAGGGTACTGGCGCCAATAATGACAAGAGTAAAACTAAGCATGGCTCTGGAGACAACAGTTTGCAAATCAATACCACTACGAATAATACAGATTCAATGGCAAACCGGAGAATGACGAGGTCAATGGCACGGTCATTAGAATCCCAGGAGGTAGATGTAAAGGAAACTAGCTTGATCATATTGGACTTCTCGGTACGTTCTTTCTTCTTCTTGAATGATATTGATCTATTCAATATGTACAGAAAATATTCTTCGGATCTAAATATGCCAACGGCACAGAATTCGAACTTCAAACTGGAGTACCATTCCCGCCTTTCCCAACGACAGATGAAGTGCCTCACCTTCAAGTGGTTGAAGCACTAGGTGGAGGCGCGACCGGCGATGTCTACAGAGCGGAACTTCAGCATCCTAATAGGCCCGACCTTCCGTCTTATGCCATTAAACTTTTGGAGACTGAATGGCAGTTGTCGCAAGACGACAGAAACCGTTGTGAAGATCTGCATAACGAATATGTCAATTATTGCTTACTACAATTGGGCAAACGCGATGACAAACTCAAGGATATCATAAGTTACGCAACAACTACTTGTTACGGGTTATATCGATCGAGAAACTGTTCGTTGGCATGGTTTGCATTGATTACAGAGTACGCAGGCACTATTGTCCCAGAAGGATTCGCCACATCGGGAAAAAGTCTAAATTCTTGTATTACCTTATAATGGTATAAAATAAGTGAAAAAAGTAAAAAAAGTAAAAACACTTAGAACGGATCTCGGTTTCTGAGAAAGTGATACAAGACATTATAAAGTCTGGAAGGTTTGTGTATTTTGTAAACATAAATAAGAGTTATTCTCCTTGACAATATATAAAATGTATTACAATGGATCTCTAAAATTACAAGGTTAAATCACCCTTGTTGAGTATGGCAAATATTATAATCGTTTATAAAGCTCTTAAATTGTTTTAATATCTTTCCAATAGTCATTTTTCCTTACATCCGTTTGTTATTGAAATAACAGTTTATAATTATATTGAAACATTATATAAATACATTATATCTACAACAATTAGTGGTGAGACAGTTTGTGAGATTGATTGGCTAAGAGTGTGGGTGTGAGCATTGTCAGTGTAAGTAGGTAACTGGATTGAGGAGATGGATGAACCGCGATGGCGTGTAGCGAGTGTGAGTGGTGCACTGGGGTTGAGATCCGGAGCGTTGAATGAGCTAATTTGAGCCGCATCTGTACGTGCACACTGCACACTCTGACTACGTCTCGCAATCAGAGGTGCGGTGAACTGAACCGTTGACTGAGGGGTGTATTCCCGGGGCGTTCTGGCCTAAAGGGAGAGCTGCACCTGTGGGACAGGTTTAGATTAGTGAGTGGCA